AGAGACAGGATGAGATGTATAAATAGAGTGTGTAAGGGAGGGAGAGAGTGAGCGAAAGAGAGGTGGGGTCACTCATAGAGCCAGAGGGAGGAAGGGAGGATGAATGGAGAAAAAAAAGAATTGGCAAGGGCAAATATATGAATTGGTTAAATCACAGATATATGACACTAAACACATTTTCTCTTAAAATATATTTTCAGTATATTTGATGTGCTTGCATCATGTCCAAAGCTACGTAGGCACTCACACATTTATTTCTAAAGGGACACTATTGTTACCAGAACCACTACAGTTTAATGTAGTGGTTCTGGGGCAAATAGCCTGTCCTTGCTGGATATGGTAAACACTGTCTTTTCAGAGAATTCCACAAAACAATAAAATTAAGAAGATGTAGAAACTGTAAGCCAGACTATTAAGCTACAGTAAATAACTCCCAGGAGTAAACTCACTAATGATAGAGAAAATTATAAGATGAAAAGGGGGGTAATGTGAATTAGGAGCAGCAGTAAGATGGTGGCAAAGTGATATCCTCCAGCAAAGTTGTATAAGATAAATCAGAGAAAAACAAGAGTTCCATTCCTTCACATTTCTAGGCTACACTACCTATAACAGTGATGGCGAACCTATGGCACCGGACCCTTTCTGTGGGCACGCGGCCCTACGTTCGCCATCAATGCAGAGTAGGCACCTGCCTGCCCAAAACGGCAGGCGCCTACTCTGCTTCCGTGTCGGAAGGCAGGGGGAGGGATCTGTGAAGCAGCTCCCCTGTCCTCCCGCGAGCAAGCTGTGTGCAGCGTTGCCGTGCGTTACCATGGCAATGCTCCACACAGCATCGTGCGGGAGGACAGGGGAGCTGCTTCACAGATCCCTCACCCTGCCTCCCGACACGGAAGCAGTGCTTGCCACCACTGGACCACCAGGGATGGCTGTGTGTCCCCCCCACACAGCACCCCTCCCCAGCATCCCTCCCCTCCCATCTACCCAGCATCCCTCCCCACCCCTACCCCCCACACACAGCAGCCTTACCCTCCCACACACACAGCAGCCCTACCCCCCCCACACAGCACCCCTACCTCCCCACACACAGCACCCCCACAACACACAGCACCACTACCCCCCACAACACAGCACCCCTACCCCCCACACAGCACCCCCACACACACACACACAGCACCCCACACACACAGCACCCCTCATACACACACACACACAGCACCCCACACACACACACACACACACACACACACACACTCCTCACACACACAGCACCCCCCACACACACAGCACCCCTCACACACACACAGCACCCCTCACACACACATCCCTCACACACAGCACCCTCACACACACAGCACCATCACACACACACAGCATCCCTCACACACACACACACACAGCACCCCTCACACACACAGAGTACCCCTTATACACACATACAGCAACCCTCATATACACACGCACGCTCACACGCTCACACACACACACACACACACACACACACACACACACACACAGCAACCATCACACACACAGCACCCCTCACTCACAGCACCCCTCACACACAGCACACACACAGCACCCCACACACAAACACATACACTACACCCCTCAATGCAATATGTGTGTGTATTCAGCAGTCTGTGTGTGTGTGTGTGTATTCAGCAGTCTGTGTGTGTACTCAGCAGTGTGTGTATTCAGCGGACTGTGTGTGTGTATTTAGTGGACTGTGTGTGTATGTATTCAGCGGACTGTGTGTGCATGTATTCAGTCTGTCTTTATGTGTATTCAGACTGTGTGTGTGTGTATTCATCAGTCTCTGTATTCAGCAGTCTTGTGTGTGTGTATTCAGCAGACTGTGTGTATGTATTCAGCAGTCTGTGTGTGTATGTATTGCATTTGTTGGCGATACTAATAAATATAAGCTTCATTTTATCTATTTATATCATTATTTAAAATTTGTGTCATTGAACTCTCCGTTGTTGTGTCCTTTTAAAACAAAAGTTGTTAATTAGTTCGGACAACAGTACGAGTTGTTTTTTTCTAAACTTAAACCTCAGTATTGAGGTTTAATTGCCGTGTTGGCACTTTAAGGAAAAAGAAGTTGGCATGTATTGCGGTTTGGGCACTCTGGCTCAAAAAGGTTTGCCATCACTGGCAGGCGCCTACTCTGCTTCCGTGTCGGAAGGCAGGGGGAGGGATCTGTGAAGCAGCTCCCCTGTCCTCCCGCGAGCAAGCTGTGTGCAGCGTTGCCGTGCGTTACCATGGCAATGCTCCACACAGCATCGTGCGGGAGGACAGGGGAGCTGCTTCACAGATCCCTCACCCTGCCTCCCGACACGGAAGCAGTGCTTGCCACCACTGGACCACCAGGGATGGCTGTGTGTCCCCCCCACACAGCACCCCTCCCCAGCATCCCTCCCCTCCCATCTACCCAGCATCCCTCCCCACCCCTACCCCCCACACACAGCAGCCTTACCCTCCCACACACACAGCAGCCCTACCCCCCCCACACAGCACCCCTACCTCCCCACACACAGCACCCCCACAACACACACAGCACCACTACCCCACAACACAGCACCCTACCCCCACACAGCACCCCTCATACACACACACACACACCCACACACACAGCACCCCTCATACATACACACACAGCACCCCACACACACACACACACACACACACCTCCTCACACACAGCACCCTCACACACAGCACCCCTCACACACACACAGCACCCCTCACACACACACACAGCATCCCTCACACACACAGCACCCCCTCACACACACAGCACCCATCACACACACACAGCATCCCTCACACACACACACACACAGCACCCCTCACACACACAGAGTACCCCTTATACACACATACAGCAACCCTCATATACACACGCACGCTCACACGCTCACACACACACACACACACACACAGCACCCCACACACACACACACACACACACAGCAACCATCACACACACAGCACCCCTCACTCACAGCACCCCTCACACACAGCACACACACAGCACCCCACACACAAACACATACACTACACCCCTCAATGCAATATGTGTGTGTATTCAGCAGTCTGTGTGTGTGTGTGTGTATTCAGCAGTCTGTGTGTGTACTCAGCAGTGTGTGTATTCAGCGGACTGTGTGTGTGTATTTAGTGGACTGTGTGTGTATGTATTCAGCGGACTGTGTGTGCATGTATTCAGTCTGTCTTTATGTGTATTCAGACTGTGTGTGTGTGTATTCATCAGTCTCTGTATTCAGCAGTCTTGTGTGTGTGTATTCAGCAGACTGTGTGTATGTATTCAGCAGTCTGTGTGTGTATGTATTGCATTTGTTGGCGATACTAATAAATATAAGCTTCATTTTATCTATTTATATCATTATTTAAAATTTGTGTCATTGAACTCTCCGTTGTTGTGTCCTTTTAAAACAAAAGTTGTTAATTAGTTCGGACAACAGTACGAGTTGTTTTTTTCTAAACTTAAACCTCAGTATTGAGGTTTAATTGCCGTGTTGGCACTTTAAGGAAAAAGAAGTTGGCATGTATTGCGGTTTGGGCACTCTGGCTCAAAAAGGTTTGCCATCACTGACCTATAAGTTTGATGAGGTGAAACTTAGCGTTCCCGTTAGCGTTTAATAAGGCAGCCTTGTGTTGACGATTCTGATCTTTTCTAAAGAAGTCTCTGGAAATAGAAACTGCAGTTGCCTGAGACAACACATGGCGTCTAAGTGTATACCCTTCGCTTGTTTAGGGGAGAACAATTCTGTGAAATGTCTACGTAGTAGATGCGGCAGTTCAGCCATAGGTACATTATCAGACAGGCATCTTATTTTCACGTTTGTGTGTCTTCCAATGCTTCTAGCTTTATATGAATTGTGTGCAGGTCACAAACCTATTTTTCACGAAATTTGAGTGCTCTGTGATGTTATGGACTCCTCGACATGGGTAAGTCTTTTAGAAAACTCTCTGACATTCTCCAGTAATTTGGAAATATCTGTATATATTTTCTGATGGAGATTTGCAAGTAATTGCTTTAAAATGTATGTAGTTACTGAAGAGGTGTCCCCAGCATGCTCTACATCCTCTACATCATAAATGTTAGGCTTGCTCTCCCCATGCAGTCAATATCCAATGAATGACAGGGTTGATGCGTGTTTTTCTTTTTCAATCATGACCAGTAGAGATATTCAATGGTGAGAATGTGCCACAAAACGTATTGTTTGGTGTTCATAAATCATCAATTAAGAGTGATTTTAATGGAGCACTGCTAACATGCAACTGCTCAGGCTAAGAGATAGCTCTGCCCCCCAAACACATTTTGTAATATTTTATGCATACTTAATGTGGTGTTAGGTATACATGTAGGGTATTTAAATAAATCAATATTATTTTATAAATAATATGTTTATATTGCCCTTTAATAAACAATATATGTATATGTTTATATATATATTATTTATTAAATATATGTACATATGCACATGAAGAGAAACTCTTAAATTACAGTGGCACACACACACAGCACACATTCTAGGATTTGTTTTGGTTCAGATATTTGCCTCCTTCCTAAAAGGGTTAACAGAGCAAGATATATGAACTCCTAAAGTAAACACACTCTGCTGTAATCTGGGTTTAAAAATTGATCTTTTTATTTTCATGGAGGTCGTATGATTCCCAGCTGACATCAAATGTATTAGCTGCTAATTAGAAGATGCCATTGAGCGAATTTTGCAGCTTGGAAATAAACTGTACTTCTTAACATTAGCAGCAGTCATTTTAGCAAATATTAGCTTCTCAGTAAAACTGTGGAACGTGGAATTCCCTTAAAGGACCACTATAGTGCCAGGAAAACATACTCGTTTTCCTGGCACTATAGTGCCCTGAGGGTGCCCCCACCCTCAGGGACCCCCTCCCGCCTGGCTCTGGAAAGGGGAAAGGGGTAAAAACTTACCTTTTTCCAGTGCTGGGCGGGGAGCTCTCCTCTTCCGATCCTCCTCCTCTCCGCCCATTCGGCTGAATGCGCACGCGCGGCAAGAGCTGCCCGCGCATTCAGCCGGTCGCATAGGAAAGCATTTACAATGCTTTCCTATGGACGCTTGCGTGCTCTCACTGTGATTTTCACAGTGAGAATCACGCAAGCGCCTCTAGCGGCTGTCAATGAGACAGCCGCTAGAGGCTTTGGAGGAAGGCTTAACCCATTTATAAACATAGCAGTTTCTTTGAAACTGCTATGTTTATAAAAAAATGGGTTAACCCTAGCTGGACCTGGCACCCAGACCACTTCATTAAGCTGAAGTGGTCTGGGTGCCTAGAGTGGTCCTTTAATGCTTGTTAGATATGTAACACCATATTACCTTGACAGGTGCATTGTCGCCATATGGGCTGGAGGGGCTGACCATTACCCTTTTCCCAACCCACACCAATGAAACACTTTAGGGTATGGGTCAATATGTCCACAGCTTTTATTTATAAATAATAATAATAATAATAATGATAATATATAAATAACATAAAAGTCATTGCCCACACCCACATCCTCAGCCATCCATCATTATCACTTTTCCACATATCAATTCGCAAGGCAATGACCCATCATATATAACATAACATAACATTGTATAACAATCCATAAGTATAACAAAACAAGATCCAACATTTTCCACACAATCCTGGCAGGGGTATACCTTGATACCCCTACACCACCTGGGTTCTGAGCTACCACCGAGCTCGAAACCACCAACATCTTACCAACAGGTAACCAGTCCATATTGAAACAGCCAACTCACTACTCTTGCTCTACGCTTCCTTAAGCAGGCCCGTTACCCCCTTTCCTTCCACTAGCCCGCCGCTGTGACCAAGCGGGTAGAATAAAACCTAACACTAAAGGGAGGGAGGGACCAATTCAGCCTTGTAAGTCAATTAGTAATGAGGTGTTATAAAATGGCCGACATTTATATCAGCCTACCCAGAATCCTGATCTGTCAATCACCAACCCCTGCTCCACCTAAGCCCGCCTCCAGGCCCTGTCAAGGCCCCCTCTGCTAAGCTGCGCTTTGTTCTTGGGGCTACAGTACATTCTTCCAACTGCAACATTAGTTATTTAGAAGTTTGAAATAGACGTGTACACAAGCAGACTAAAGGAGCACGCCAAGCTCTCATTGAAGGGGTTAGAATGCCCTGGCACCACTTCCACCCAATTGAAGCAGTCACACTGTTTTTGATTGGCTTGCATTCATATCTGGGATTCACCAGGTGCTACTCTTTATTTCCTCTTTAGGAGTTTCCATTAGCTCTCCTGGCATAAATCCTGCAGTACAGATTTAGCTCATTTGCTAAGAGTGTCAGCTGATTATCCTCATGCACTGCCAGGCATAACTCAGACAGAGAGTTTTCAGCTGTCTGTGGGACATAGTGAAGATGAGGAGCAGCACTTGGCAGACCCAAGGTCAAAAAGACTGGGCAACAGTTTTTCAAAAATTCCTATTCTTCTGTTATTCTAAGGCAAGCATGTCAAACTTGCGGCCTGCGGGCCACATGCATCCCACAATGAATATATTTGTGGCCCACCTGACATGGGGCCGCTTTGTGCTTTGGCTGCGGCCAGCCGCAAGACAGGAAAGATATTTCCTGTCTGATTTGTATCTTCCCTTCCACGGCCACAAGAAGGCAGAGTGGATGTTTGTCTGCAGAACAGGCCAGCCACTCCCCCTTCCCTCCTGCTCCCAGTGCCAGAGGAGCATCTGGCCTGCTTGCAAAGTAGAGCTGGAACTGGAGGACGGGCGGCTCATTTTAAGGTAGGAGGAGAGGGGCTTGGGGGACCTTCCTGTGTAGTGTGTTAATTTCGGGTGGCCATTAATTTGAGGGAGGGAGGGGGCAGTATATTAATTTGGGAAGGGTGGGGGCCAGTGTATTAAATTGGGGGAGGGAGTGGGTACTGTATTAATTTGGGGAGGGAGTGAGGGAGGGAGGGGGGCAGTGTATCACATTGGGGAAGGGAGTGGGCAGTGTATTAATTTGGGAAGGGAAAGAGGGATGGAAGGGGCACTGTATTGTGTGTTAAATTGTGTTTGTGTCTGTCAGTGAGTGTGTTTGTATGTCAGTGAGTGTCTGTGTGCGTGTGTCTGTCTGTCAGTGAGTGGGTGTATATATGTCAGTGAGTGTGTGTGTGTTTGTGTGTGTGGGTCTGTCTGTCAATGAGTGAGTGTATGTATGTCAGTGAGTGAGTGTGTGTGTGTCTGTCAGTGAGTGAATGTATGTCAGTGAGTGTATGTCTGTCAGTAAGTGTCTGTGTGTGTATGTCAGTGAGTGTCTATGTGTGTGTGTGTGTGTCTGTCAGTGAGTGAGTGTATATGTGTCAGTGAGTGATTGTGTGTCTGTCAGTAAGTGTGTGTGTCTGCCAGTGTGTGTCTGTCAGTGAGTTAGTGACATGAGAGGGCGGCAAAATGGATCTTTGCCTAGGGCGGCAGAAATCCTTGCATTGGCCCTGTGTATATATATATATATGTATATATATATATATATATATATATATATACACACACAATTTTATTTCCTATATATGTATAATATATTATAATAAAAGCATTTTATAATATATTATACATATATATGATTTAATTATAAGTGCAGTTTTGAGATGTTTGTGTATATAAGTGTACACTTATAATGAAATCATATATATGCATTATATATGTATAATATATTATAAAATGCTTTAAATATTTTATAATATATTATACATATATAGTATATGTATAATATATTTATTTTTTATTTTTTTACTTTTTAGCAGCCTGGGGGACTGCCTGACAGCTCAGACAGTCCCCCTGTTGGTAGCTCCAAGAGTCCTATTGCGGCAATGTGATCATAAATGAGCCCAGACAGTCCCCCCTCAGAAGAAGACTGATCACTGGCAGGGGAACGGCGGTGATCGGTAAGTACATGGAGAGGGAGGGTAGGAGTTAATAAAAAATAAAAAAAAGAATAATTTTTTTTTTTTTTTTACTGAGTGCCTGATGGATTCCGATGCTCTGCTCTACACTGCCGGTTGCCACGTGGGGCAACCCGAAAGTGATCGCTCCGTGGGGAGCATTCACTCGGGTGCCTGGCAGTGAGGGGGGAGGGTATTGTATGATATTCTGGTCTTTAGCCCTCTCTTAGTCTAGTTCTGTTGTTTCATAGTTCTACCTTTATGTTAGCCCAGGTCCATTAATATGCTTCTTCCTATGCATCTGTCTTTACCTTTGTTTGATAGGTCACTGCCTCTCACCTTGCTGAGGATACTCTAGCCCAGTGATGGCTAACCTTAACACCATAAATTGTTTCTGGACTACATTTCCCATGATGCTCAGCTAGCTTTTAGACTCCAAAAGCTAGCTGAGCATCTTGGGAAATGTAGTCCAGAAACAATTTATGGTGTCAAGGTTAGCCATCACTGCTCTAGCTGAAGGTTCTCAAAACTCTGGCCGTCCAGATGTTGCTGAACTACGGCTCCCATTATTCTTTGAATAAAATAGCCATAGAATATTTGGAGTTTTAGTTTAGCAACATCTGGAAGGCATAAGTTTAGAGAACCCTGCTCTGGACAACCCTGATCACGGAATCACAAAACAAATGAAATGGCACATCAGTTGCATGTTTAGCTTGTTCCGTGATGTAAACTTATGGCTTTTCAGAGATGGGGAATATGGACGAATTGCAGATTGCCCAAAATTTTGAATGAATCGCGACTCAATTAAAACCAAATGCACAACTCAAATAGGTTTTATTTCAGTGCTTTTGAAATCTAATACATAATAAATAATCAACATATATGCTACATGTTGATTTATAGATTGCTTTATACATGTAGCACAGTGGTTTAGTGATACGTGAGGGAGCAGCATTTTCCTTATCATATAATACAAAGTGAGATCTATATACTAATTCTTTTTTTTTTGCTGGTGCTTAAATTAAAAATACTACTATCCTGCTTCCTATGATTAAGCTCCGGTTGTACAATCAGCATCAGTATGCTGACACAACCACTACTTTGTTACACAAATGACTCAAAGAGGAAGTGCACCGAACCTTACAAATATTGGTCCCAATGTATTTACTGCAGAAAATAACCGGCTGAATTTTGCAGATAATACTATACAAAAGAAGGACACTGTGATTACTTATTCAAATGCTAATTGACACATAAAAGCTTACTTCTGTATATTTAAGAGATAAAATAACCCCAGTAAGTACTACAAAACTAACAAAACCTGAATGTACCTTCTTGGATCAATTATATATATATATATATATATATATATATACATAAATACAACTAAGTGTATGGTTAGTGAATGCCCAGGGGCATGTTAAAAGAGGTCCCAAGGAAAAATACTTCTCATTGAGTCCCTAATATGTAACTGTGTATTTACACACTACATTAAAATGATGGTATTACTTATAAATTCTTGTTGTATTGATTATTGCTGGGCTATTTAGCCCATACATTTCAATGCAAGATTCTTATTTTGTAAAACACACATACTGTGCAGGTTGGCGCCTCTCTGTGGCATTTATTTGTATATTTTTAACAACGTCCGATACAACTCTTGCTTGATAGGGATATCTACCTACTACCTATCAACAAGAAAGTCTCTTATTTTGTCTGCTGTGTGTGTTAGTGAGGACTCTCAGTCCCAGGGGCACTGACATACTGCCTTTGTCTTGCTCATTGTTAAATAATCTTGACCTCTGCCATGTCCTTGGCATATATCTGTATTATAATGACCTGCCAAGAGCATCAACACCACGTAACATTGTTGTGTTGTTAGCTTATAGAGTTGAGCAACTCTCTCAGGATGTTGCAATATAACATGGAACACTTAAAGGTTTGCTGAACAAACGTACCTAGGTCTAAACGGTATCCAGAACTTGAACCGAGAGCAAACCTTTACGATTTCTCTCCTGAAAGCCCCCTTTGCTACTCCCAAACTCAACCCCATACACGGAAACAGTCACTTCTCCAGAATTTACACAGTTGAATAAAACATTGAAAACTAAGCTTTGTACCTCCTGCTGCTTCAGCCATAATATCCTCTCCCTCGCGGCTCGGCGCTCAGTCAGTGAGTCAGAGCACAAGGAGGGAATTCCCAGCCTGTGTTCTGACTCACACTGAGCACCACAGAGGTTATTATGGAGTGTAACAGCAGGGGGCACAGAGCCAGGTTTCTCCCCTGCGCGGCCACTCTGAACATGCAGGGGATCAGAGTCAGCCAATCTTTAATATCGATTGGACCCTGGGCAAGCATATGCTTGGGCCCCCTGGACCCTGTGTGTCGTATTGGTGTGAGTGAAGGGTGTGTTTGTGTACAATTTTGGAGTTTGTATTAAGGGGTTTGTTTGTATGTAACGATTGTGTTTGCAGCGGTGTGTTTGATTGCCTGGATGTATGCACATACATACTAACACAGATATACATACACATTGACACACAGATACACACAAACACACTGATACATGCACACACCTTGACACACAGATACACATATAAACACACTGATACATGTACACACCTTGACACACAGACAGGGCCTGATTGGGAATTAAAAGCAGCCCTGGAAAAAAAACATTTACCAGTCCCATAATGCGTCGCGCCAGCATAGTGTGCAGATACAGAGTTAGAAAAGAGAACTTAAAATTTAAAATTAATACTTCAACGTAAAAAAAAGCACTCATAGGCTTCAAAATAAACAAAAGTGCAGATTTATTTTAAGCAGACGTGCCTTTGCATGTAATCAATGTTTCAGTCCAACTACCTTGACATATTAAGGAAAGCTTGTTAATGGAACTGAAATGGTGAATGTATGTAGGGCACAACTGTAAAAAATTGACGTTATCTTGTTTATTTTGAAGTCCTGTGGGTCCGCTCTTCACTTTAAATATGTTATTGTGATGGAGTATGCACCTAGCAAGACTGGGCCAATATCTGCTCATTATATATGGTACATATAAATGACATTTATCTGTGTATTATGCATATATAAATGTACTTTAATATATGTGTAAATATAATAGGCATATATATATATATGTATATATATATATATATATATAAAACTAATACACATTAATATACATGTCATATACCAGTGGTGGATCCAGAGCCTGATCCCGGGAGGGGCACTTGTAGATTATTTAAATAAATAATCCATGCACAATAACCACTACTGTTCTGTGTAGTGGTTATGGTGCAAGGAGTGCCGGGACCCCCTCCCAGAGTAAGTAGTCAAACAGTTTAAGAGCAGTTTGACAACTTACCTGGGGTCTGCTGGGAAATGGGGCTGTAGTAGGGTAAAGGAGCAGTGGTGCAATGTGTGAGGGGTGCAGTGTGGGTGAAAGGTTCAGTGTATGTGTGTGTGGGAGGGTGTAGTGTGTGAATGTGTAGAGTGTGTGGGGCAATGTGTGTATGGGCGGCTGTGTATATGTGTGTATGCAGCAATGTGTGTATGGGGGGCTGTGTATGTGTGTGGGGGCAGTGTGTGTGTACGGGGCAATATGTGTATGGGGGCAGTGTGTGAATGTGTATGGTGTGTGTGGGGGCAGTGTGTCTATGGGGGGCAGCGTGTGCCGCACGGTGCCTGTGGAACGGGGAGGGAGATCGGCTGGCAGGGGAGAGCCTCGTGAGGGGGGGGGTGGGAATTGCTCTGTTGCCCCCCCCGGATCCACCAGTGATATATACAGCCCCTATGTGTGTCTCTTTATCTCCAGCCCCTCTGTGTGCCTTTTTGTCTCCCCCCAGTCACTCTGTATGTGTCTTTCTCTCCCTCACTGCTCCTCTGTCCTCTGTGTCCATGTCTCCCCTCTCCTTACCAGTCTCTCTCTTCCCCCTCTGCCTCTTTCTCCCCCTCCCCTTGTGTGTCTCTCTCCTTTCCCCCTTTGTCTATTTCTCCCCCTCCCCTTGTGTGTCTCTCTCCTTTCCCCCTGTCTCTTTCTCCCCCCTCCCCTTGTGTGTCTCTCATTTTCCCCCCTCTGCCTCTTTCTCCCCTCCCCTGTGTCTCTCCTTTCCCCCCTCTGTCTATTTCTCCCCTCCACTTGTGTGTCTTTCTCCTTTCCCCTGTGCCTCTTTCTCCCCCCTCCTTGTGTCTCTCTCCTTTTCCCCTCTGCCTCTTTCTCCCCTTCCCCTTGTGTGTCTCTCTCCTTTCTCCCTCTGTCTCTCTCTTCCCCTCTGTCTCTTTCTCCCCTCCTTTCCCTGTCTCTCCCCCACATCTCTCGTCCCCTCTATCTCTTTCTCCCCCCTTTCCCTGTGTCTCTCTCTCTCCCCCACATCTCTCTTCCCCTCTGTCTCTTTTTCCTCCCTCCACCATCTCTCTATTCCCCCTCTTTCTCCCCCTGTGTCTCACTCTTCTCCCTCTGTATCTTTCTCCCTCTTTTCCCTGTGTCTATTCCCCCTCTGTTTTATTTTCTCCCTCCCCTTGTGTCTCTTTATTCCCCGTCTTCCCCCTCCCATTTACTTGAGAGGAGTCAGGGGGGCCGGCCGCATTCCACGCTGGAGCCGCCGGGCCGGGTAGCAGCCTCGCCGGTCCGGCGGCACTCCTGTCACTGTCACTAATGCTGAGGAGTGAGGAGTGAGCACTGAAGGAGGAGGGAGGAGCATGTCTCTCTACCATGCTCCCTCGTGGTTCCCACAATTCCCAGCATATGCTGTGCTGGGAATTGTGGGAACCACGAGGGAGCATGGTAGAGAGACATGCTCCTCCTTCACTACTCAGCATTAGTGACAGGAGTGCCGCCGAACCGGCGAGGCTGCCACCCGCCCGGCGGCTCCAGCGTGGAATGCGGCCGGCCCCCTCAGAGTGTGTGCCACCGGACCAGCCACCCGGTGGCACATACATGCTCAGCGCAGCCCCCAGATGCCACGGCCCCCGGGAAATTTCCCGGTATCCCGGTGGGCCAGTCCGGCCCTGCACACAGATACACATATAAACACACTGATACCCCCACCACCCCCATTTTGACTGTGGTATCTTATGTGCCTCTTCTATATATTGTTCCTAGAGTCGCCACTGCTTTAGGGGCCCGGTTGTGCACTGCAGGGCTTTTTAGCAGTGCAACCGGGCTTCAAAAATAATGTAATAGCAGAGCACACACTTATATTCATTACATAAAAATCAACTCTTTTTTTACATTTTAAAGTGGGGGGGAGAAGGGGAGCCAAAAAGAGCTCTAGGTGCACCCCTGAGAAGAGGCTAATGTGGTACATTTTTCTTAGCATCCTGCAGTCATGGTAATGTGCCGACCTTGTTTCAACTAGCCAGATCCTTGAGGGCCCTTGAATAGCAAAGCTACTGCCCTTAGCCAGCATATCACTTGGCTGATTTAAATTAAAAAAATATAATGCTCTGGAGATCCAAAACTAATCTTCATGAAGTTTCTGCTTAAAGACCTAGGGTTTTACACCTCTGACTTATTGTATTCGTTCATGCAATGAAATACAGAAAAATATTCTAAATTAGAGCAAAAATGGTTACATTCTACAGTAATGGATATTTTAGAGAGGGAAAATCAAGGAGTAAAGAAGGTGTCTGGTAACAAGTAGATCCTTAATAGTTTTTATTTTATTTGTATGTGCCAATTGCTTAGTAGGTGTAAGTTATTTTATAAACATTGTTTGAATTAATACAACAATTTCTAAAACAATTAACTTTTCTGGTACTTATAGGGGGCTATAATTCAAGCAAAATGTAATTTCACATAATAATAAAATAATATGGCAATTCCCATTTTCATCGCATTGCAGACTTAGAATTAAACCTCTTAAGTGAAAAATGACCTTCCAGCAGTCTACATCACACTGCTAGGGCAAGTATAGGGTGATGACAGCCAAACCAAATTAACCAAACCTATATTGATAGTAAATAGAGATAGTAAATACTGCATTACTCTAGTCAAGTGACTAGAGCAAAAGAAAATTGTAAACAGTTTTTAAATTATGAGAATTTTATTTACAAATTATATATGATTTAAACAAAAGTATGCAGTTATACATAGCCCAAAATGACCCTATACAGAGTAATTATTTCTTAAATGAACTCTCTCAAAAAATATAGTGCTGTGAATTTTAACTATATACTGTATTGCCCTAGCTGGAGTAAATATTTTACTTTGTAGAACTAATACTACTACACCTGTCATCAGGGCTGCTATCAGAAATTTTGGGGCCACTGACACAGCTCAAGGCTCCCCTGAGTCCGTCCACAGGGATGCAGTGTGTGTACTGAATGTGATGTGTGTGTGTGTGTGTGTGTAGTGGATGCAAAGTGCGTGTTTAAAGTGGATGCCATAAGTGTATAATGGATGCAGATTGTATGTTTGTGTAATTTATGTTGTGTATATTAGATGCAGAGTGTGTGTTTGTGTAGTGAATGCAGAGTGTGTGTATAGTGAATGCAGAGTGTGTGAAGTGAATGCATAGTGTGTGTTTGTGTAGTGGATGTAGTGTGTATTGTGAATGCAGAGAGTGTGTTTGTGTAGTGTGTGTAAAATAGGGTCCATTTTATTTTATTCCATGCTGCTTACAGTTGCAAGAAAAAGTATGTGAACCCTTTGGAATGATATGGATTTCTGCACAAATTGGTCATAAAATGTGATCTGATCATCATCTAAGTCACAACAATAGACAATCACAGTCTGCTTAAACTAATAACACACAAAGAATGAAATGTTGCCATGTTTTTATTGAACACACCATGTAAACATTCACAGTGCAGGTGGAAAAAGTATGTGAACCCCTAGACTAATGACATCTCCAAGAGCTAATTGGAGTGAGATGTCAGCCAACTGGAGTCCAATCAATGAGATGAGATTGGAGGTGTTGGTTACAGCTGCCCTGCCCTATAAAAACACACACCAGTTCTGGGTTTGCTTTTCACAAGAAGCATTGCCTGATGTGAATGATGCCTCGCACAAAAGAGCTCTCAGAAGACCTACGATTAAGAATTGTTGACTTGCATAAAGCTGGAAAGGGTTATAAAAGTATCTCCAAAAGCCTTGCTGTTCATCAGTCCACGGTAAGACAAATTGTCTATAAATGGAGAAGGTTCAGCACTGCTGCTACTCTCCCTAGGAGTGGCCGTCCTGTAAAGATGACTGCAAGAGCACAGCGCAGACTGCTCAATGAGGTGAAGAAGAATCCTAGAGTGTCAGCTAAAGACTTACAAAAGTCACTGGCAAATGCTAACATCCCTGTTAGCGAATCTACAATACGTAAAACACTAAACAAGAATGGATTTCATGGGAGGATACCACAGAGGAAGCCACTGCTGTCCAAACAAAACATTGCTGCATGTTTACAGTTTGCACAAGAGCACCTGGATGTTCCACAGCAGTACTGGCAAAATATTCTGTGGACAGATGAAACCAAAGTTGAGTTGTTTGGAAGAAACACACAACACTATGTGTGGCGAAAAAAAGGCACAGCACACCAACATCAAAACCTCATCCCAACTGTGAAGTATGGTGGTGGGGGCATCATGGTTTGGGGCTGCTTTGCTGCGTCAGGGCCTGGACGGATTGCTATCATCGAAGGAAAAATGAATTCCCAAGTTTATCAAGACATTTTGCAGGAGAACTTAAGGCCATCTGTCTACCAGCTGAAGCTCAACAGAAGATGGGTGTTGCAACAGGACAATGGCCTAAAGCATAGAAGTAAATCAACAACAGAATGGCTTAAACAGAAGAAAATACACCTTCTGAAGTGGCCCAGTCAGAGTCCTGACCCCAACCCGATTGAGATGCTGTGGCATGACCTCAAGAAAGCGATTCACACCAGAGATCCCAAGAATATTGCTGAACTGAAACAGTTCTGTAAAGAGGAATGGTCAAGAATTACTCCTGACCGTTGTGCACGTCTGATCTGCAACTACAGGAAATGTTTGGTTGAAGTTATTGCTGCCAAAGGAGGTTCAACCAGTTATTAAATCCAAGGGTTCACATACTTTTTCCACCTGCACTGTGAATGTTTACATGGTGTGTTCAATAAAAACATGGCAACATTTCATTCTTTGTGTGTTATTAGTTTAAGCAGACTGTGATTGTCTATTGTTGTGATTTAGATGATGATCAGATCACATTTTATTAACAATTTGTCAGAAATCCATATCATTCCAAAGGGTTCACATTCTTTTTCTTGCAACTGTACCTGTGGCCAAGAGTGGGGAGATTGCATTCCCTGGTGTTCCAGTGGCATGGTGTTGGGAGCCACGCACTGTTCACTGCAGTGGGGGCCGCAGCACACTCAGTCTTCCCTTCCCAGCAACTCCTCTGTCTCTAACTCTCGCGAGACCGGCCTGCTTGCTGGCAACGATCTGACAGCCACATTGCTCGTGAGAGTTAGAGGCAGAGGAGCTGCTGGGAAGGGAAGACTGAGCGTGCTGTATATATGTGCATATAGGGAATGTGGGGCCCAGAACTCTGGGCCCCCCAGGACAATCGGGCCCATGACAACCGTCATGATTGTCATGCTCTGGTGACAGCCCTGTCTGTCATGTCCATACTGCCAAGCAGCAGAAGTAATACAAATATGGCCATTAGAAGAGGTTGCAAGCCAATGTGTGTCACCGAATGCTTGCTTTGCATTGTGAGATGCAGTGGCATACATACCGGGGTCTCAGGGGTCGCGACTGCGACTGGGCCCGGCCCACCAGGGGGCCCGGCCGCACTGCAACTCTGGTATGTATCCACTGTGGCCAGCCTCTTCTCTTGGGGGGCCCAGGAGCTGGCCACCTCTGGCCCTGGTGTCACCTGGCGGGCAGGCAGGCGGTTGTGCGAGGGAGCAGAGTGTTAGAGTGTGTGTGTATGTTAGAGTGTGTGTGTGTGTTAGTGTGTTACTGTGTGTGTCTGTTAGTGAGACTGTTTGGTGTCTGTTAGTGAGTGTGTATGTGTCTCTGTCTGTCAGTGAGTGTATGTATGTCTGTCACTGAGTGTGTGTCTGTCAGTAAATGTGTTTGTCTGTTAGCTAGTGTTATGCGTCTGTTCGTGAGAGTGTGTGTGTGTGTGTGTGTGTGTCTGTTAGCTAGTGTGTATGCGTCTGTTCATGAAATTGTGTGTGTCTTCAGCACTTACCTTTCTCCAGCGCCGGACTCCCTTGGTGCTGGGGATCTCTCCGCCCCGATCCGCCTCTCAGCTCCGAATGTGCATGCACGGCAAGAGCATTTAAACCGCCCATAGGAAAGCATTACTCAATGCTTTCCTATGGACGTTCAGCGTCTTCTCACTGTGATTTTCTAGGCAGATTAATTGTTTGCCCTCGCCCCCCCCCCCCATTCTTCACACAGGGATGGTTAAAGGATCACTATAGGGTCAGGAACATAATCATGTATTCCTGACCCTATAGTGTTAAAACCACCATCTATTCATGCCTTCATAAATATAGCAAAATCTTACTGTATTCAAGCCTGAAGCTGTAGATCTGCATGCTGTTTGCCTCAGAAAAACAAGCAGTCTACTGACATCATCAGAAGTGGTTGCCTGATCCAATCACAGTGCTTCCCTATAGGATTGGCTGAGACTGACAAAGAGGCAGATCAGGGGCAGAGCCAGCATGATTCAAACACAGCCCTGGCCAATCAGCATCTTCTCATATTGAATTGAATCAATGAATCTCTATGAGGAAAGTTCAGTGTCTGCATGCAAAGGGAAGAGATACTGAATATTTGGATGAATTTTAGGCAGCCATGACCCAGGAAG